ATGAATGGATAAAGAAGATGTGGTATATACACAATGGAATATTAGTCAGCCAAAAAAAGAATGAAATAGTGCCATCTGCAGCAATATGGATGGACCTAGAGATTGTTACACTAAGTGAAGTAAGTCAGACAGAGAAAGACAAATATCATATGATGTCACTTATATGTGGAATCTAAAAAAATGGTACAAATGAACTTATTTACAAAACAGAAACAGACTCACAGACATAGAGAACAAACTTGGTTACCAAAGGGGAAGGGGAGGAATTAGGAATTTGGGATTAACAGATACACACTACTATATATAAAATAGATAAACGACAAGGACCTGCTGAGTAGCACAGGGAACTATATTCAATATCTTGTAATAAACCATAATGGAAAAGAATCTGTAAAAGAATATATGTATAACTGAATCACTTTGCTGTACACCTGAAACAACACAGCCTTGTAAATCAACTAGACTTCAATTAAAAAAAAAGAAATGATAGGTGAGGCTTGGAGGCTATATGAGTAACTCAGTGAACATGGAACCTCATGTGCTTCGTGTAGTAACACCAACAGCAGTATTTATTGAAGATTTACTGTGTGTCAAGCACCAGGTCCACGTGTGTTCCCTGTATTAACTAGCGACAAACTCATGAGGTGGGTACTGTTGTCACTTAGAGCTGAGAACATGAGCGTTTCTGGGTCACAGGTTGGTAAATTCAAACCCAGGGGTCCAGCTCCAGAGCCCAGGCTCCTAACCACTACTTTCCTCTCTCAACTTCCGTCCAGGAGCTCCCAGGGAAGCCGGAAGGACAGATCAGAGTACCATGCCTCAGGATATATTCAAGCACGCATCACCTCTTCTCAGGGCCTTTATGACATGAGTGAACGGCAAGGGAGCCTTCCAGGGGGACCCTCTGCCCTGCTTGGTCCAGGAGAGGCTCCGTGTGTGCCTGCTTCTCCATGCCCACCTGCATACTCCCTCTCTCCAGGGTGGACAGAAGTGGTAGTGTCACCTAAGCCCAATGGCTAAGAGCTGACGTTTTAAAGTTTGCTGGGCCTGGGCGCAAAACCCAGCTTAACCATTAACATGAGGCCAGTTACTTTGCCTAAATAAGCCTCAGCTTTCTCATCTCCCAAGTGGAGATAAGAATCGCACCTACCTCCTAGTACTGCTGTGAGAAACACAGGAGTCAAGATGTATAGAGACTCTACGTCTCAGGCAGCATCGCGCTTAGCAAATAGTGAGCACCCTCTAGAAATGAACTTGTGTCACCATTTGATAGAATGTCTGAGAGGCTTCCTCACATCAGCATCACACTGGTGGAAGACTTTGTGCATTTGAGGCATCGAAACACACCTGTGAATCTGCAGCGCTTAGCCACGAACCAGGATGAGTAGGGAATGCCAAGTCGTCCTAAATAAACCGGTGGTACTTCAAGAAGTACCCATTCCAAGACTAAATTATACCCCTGAAGCCATTGAAATGCAGTTTGGCTTTTGGCCACTCCCAAGGCTTTAATCCATTCCAGTCCAGACTCCATGGGAACTGGGCTGAAATGCTATGTTTTGTAAGGAAATAGCCTTTGAGCTTATAATCTCTTTGGGGTCCATTTTAGCCTCTTGGACCAGCCTGGGTTCAGAGTGGCAACTTCTGGAATCACTCTGCTTTCAAACACAGCCAAGGACCCACCCTACTTTGTGTTGGAACGCTGGAATAGCCTCAGGATTCAGAGAAAATCCTTTCTGTGGCATGAGCACTGTCACACGCCAGCCCTGACGCCTGCAGCCGAATCGGCAGGCTGCACACCCCAGAACCTGCCGCGGTGTTTGTCACCTGACGGCATCTCTCGGCACTCAGGCTCAATAAACCATAATCGTGGACTTGGAGAAACCGCGTGGCTGGTCGGTATATACACTGAACAAATCACCTCTTTTGGCCTCATTTTCTTTGTAAACTAAAGCGGTCACGTCCATCGTGAAAGATGGAGGGGTTGAATCTAACATGGTCTGGCTCTGGGCCTCTTAAAAAGATTCCGTCTGCCGAAGAAAAATAACCCTCTTTGCCTTTATTTTTAAAACCTTCAGTGCGCAGGGTTCTACTTACTTCCATACAAACCCAGTTACTAATATGCCTGACTGTCAGCAAGCTCTCTGCCTCCACCCCGGCTCTCTCTCCTGATCACACAATTGCCACTGGCTTCCATCAGATGTAATAAGACTTCGGGAAGCGCGGCGAGGGAAACGGAGAGCACAGATCGCACAGCGGGGCTTCTCGCGCGTGTGCAGCACAGCATCGCCCGCGCACTCTCGTGTCCTCCCAAAGCTGAGAAAATCGAGGATGCCAAGCGTATGGAAAGACGTGCTGCTGCTGTCCAAATGGGAAAAGCGGGCGGAGAAAATCATTTAGAAAAAGAGGCTGAGGGAAAAGAGAAAATCAAGCCCAATGCAACAGCTGCAAACAAGAAGCCCGGGAAACGGTTACCTTGGATGAACTCGGATTTCCTGCTCACAGAAGGCAGGGTCCGGTTGAGTCCCAGGATCCTGTCCAGGTGGAAGGCAAACACCTCGCTCATGTCCAGAGGCTGCTTGAGCAGCCCGCAGGGGCTGGGGCCGCAGGTGGGCCCCGCGGGCCGGCCTGTCCCCTGCAACACCAGCAGGCGCGCTCTGCTCCTGGGCCAGGCCGGCTGGAGACCCGCCACCGTGCCGTCGGCCAGCAGGCGCATCCGGCCGATGTCTTCTCCGCTCAGCCACGACGGGGCGCTCTCGCTGTAGATCCTGATGTTGCTTCCCTCGGCCCGGGGCAGCTGCACATCTGCGTCCCCACCTTGCGCTCCCACACCCTGCATCCACCCCCAGGGTCGCTCCCCAGCCTTGGCCAGGTTTCCTCCCCGGACGTGCCCGGGCACTTCAGCATCAGCTGCCCTTGCAGCTTCCTGAGGCCGAAGGGACGGTCCGACCAAAGTCCCCGGTCCTGGGGCCTGAGAAGCCACCGCATACTTCTTCCTGCGCTTGGGTTTCACGGTGCCACGGATGCTGGCGGGCTTGCTGCGCTTGGAGCGCAAGGTGATGTACACCACGTTGGGCTGCAGCGTGGTCCCATTGCCCTGGGACTCGGGAGGGGCCAGCGTGCCGTCCAGGGGTATCTCAGGGAAGGGGGCCTCGGCGGTGGCCCGGCTCCAGTGCGGCCCCTTGCGCGCGCGCCCTCCGTGCGGGGCAGAGGCGCGCCCCACCTGGCTCACCAGGAAGCCCAGGTAGATGGCGCAGGCCGTACCCAGCAGGAGGTTCCTCCTGGTCCTGGGGCGCCGGCTGCTCCAGAGTTTCCGCACCCTCGGGACGCACAGGGAGGAGAGGAACCAGTTTATGAGTTGCCCTGGCTTGTCCGGACAGCTCATTTCTGAGCTTCGTCCACATGCTGCACAGAGTTTAAAGTCTGCCGTTGGCTCCTTCTGGCATGATGCATGGTTTGCTGAACGCAGCTGTCGCCTCCACTCAGGTGTCTACGTGGTCTCCAGTGGGTCGAGGAGGAAGTTAAGGGCTGGTGATGGAGCCGGGCAGGCTTCTGACACTGGCCACAACAGACCTTCTAAACCCCGACAGCCTCCCCGAGGAGAAGTCTGGCTAGTTCCTGGGAATGAATGGAAACAGAGCGAACTGAGTCACAGTCTCAAACTCGGTCAGTTCCTCCACAAGAGGAAAGAAAAACGCGGAACCTTTTTCCTTCATCACTATCACCACGAAATGATTTTTTAAGTGAGGTTTAAAAAAAAGTAGAAACAAGATAGATGTATAGATTTGATATTCAGTTTCAATTAGTGAAAACCAACCACCAAAATCCAAGACTATTTTATAACTTGTAGCTAGAGTCATTTAATTTGATCCTGAAGGAAAAGCATTATAATTGGACAAATCCAGGCTTTTCGTTTTGATATTCAGAAATAATTTAAGAAAAGTAACCACAGGTTTTAGAAATCTGTAGCTATCTTCTATTTATTTTTAAAAGTCCTGCTTTAACTAGTTGGACAGAAGCACCAAGTATTAACATTCAAATTCAGAAACATATTCTCTTAATCGTATGGTACAGTCTTTTCTTCATAATATATTCCATTATCTTACTTTAAGGGTTATCATAATATAAAGGCATACATGCCCATGTATCTCGGAAGCAATTACATTTTTCAGTCACACACACACACACACACACACAGAAACACACACACACGTAAACACAAAACACACATCTAACTGTTTTTTATTCCTTTTCTTTTCACCAAAGTCAGCTGAAAGAAGAGAACCAAAAGCCCTCTAGCTCTACTTTTTCACATTATTAAAAAGAAGAACTGGTAAAAAGCAACCTTACTTACACAGCTGGCCCCGTGCTTGGCCCCAGGAAGAATGCAATCCCTGACTCTAATGCAAAGAACTATTAAAGGCTGAGGCATGTAAGTAGAACATATTTCATGGTCAAGAGTGTTCCACATTTCAAATATTTCAGCTCTGCTTTCAAAGCTCCCTTGAAAACTCCTGATTGCAAAGCAAAACGGGTACTTGTTCACTGGCTGCTGACAACCCACTTTTAAGATGTGTAAGGGTTTCTTTTTTTTTAATATTGTAAAAAATAAACTTTAATTTTAAATTCTGGAGAAAAAAAAAAGCAAATGCCGTATTTTTCCACTTATTTTTAACTCCTGGGAGCCCTCTAGTGTCCTGTATGGAAACAGACTCAGAAGTGTCAGTCTTTTCGGTGTTAAAAAGCATTAGAGAGTGTTCGCTTAGCAGCAGTGAAATAAACACCTCATGAGGTGAAGGCATTCACTTCTCTGCCCATCCCAGCCACCGGGGATTAGAGCAGCAACGTTGCCAGGGACTTACCTTTCCATCCTGGCTGTGTCCAGGGTAACACTGGCCTCCCACCGCTTCTGAGAAGAGAAGGCCCAGAAGTTCAGAAAAAGGCAAGAAAGGGTTAATGCAAATGAGGGAGAAAAAAGAACAGGCCGATAAGAGTCCACATCGGTGGGAAGAGACATTTGTAGTGTGCCGTTGCCCGGTGCAACAGTTCACAAAAAGAAGTTGTGGATTCTCCCTGATTGGAGGTTTCTTTTAAAAACAGGTTAGTGATTGCTTTAGGTGGCTTGCATGTCCGGGCACAAAGGCAGGGGTTGATGACCTCCGGGTCTCACTTAGACTTATTGTTTTTGCTTCTACAGTAAATAGAGTCTAGAAGGCACGCAGGCAGGCAGGGGCCAGGGAATGTTTTCCCCACAGGAAAAGAAGGTTGTTATGGGGGTGTGGGGGCAAGGAGTGGGAATTAGAGTATGGTGTGTACTTGTAAAAAGACTATATTTAACAATGTGGAAAAGGTCAAGGCATTGGAATACGTGTAGAAGGAAAGGATAAACTTTCAACTGATCAAATACCAAAAATTATACTAGAACTGTTCCTGTAGCACTCAGACTCAGACCATGCTTCCTAGAAGCACCCATAGATACTGGCTAAACTGCCAGTATGAGAACGTAAGCATCAAATTGATTTCCTTTGTTCTCCAATACTCTTTTTTTAAATTTTATTTTATATTGGGGAATAGTTGATTAACAATGTTGTGTTAGTTTCAGGTATACAGCAAAGTGATTGTTATATATATATACATGTATCTATTCTTTTTCAAATTCTTTTCCCATTTAGGTTATTACAGAATATTGAGTAGAGTTCCCTGGGCTATACAGTAGGTCCTTGTTGGTTGTCTGTTTTATATATCGTAGTGTGTATATGTTAATTCCAAACTCCCAATCTATCCCTCCCTACCACCTTCCTCCCTGGTAACCATAAATTCATTCTCTAAGTCCGTGAGTCCGTTTTGCAAGTAAGTTCATTTGTATCATTTTTTTTTTTAGATTCCACACATAAGTGATATCATATGATATTTGTCTTCCTCTTTCTGACTTACTTCACTTAGTGTGATCATCTCTAGGTCCATCCATGTTGCTGCAAATGGCATCATTTCATTCTCTTTTATGGCTGAGTAGTATTCCATTGTAAATATGTACCACACTTCTTTATTCATTCACTGTTGATGGACATTTAGGTTGCTTCCATGTCCTGGCTGTTGTAAACAGCACTGCAATGAACATTGGGGTGCATGTATCCTTTCAAACCATGATTTCCTCCAGATATATGCCCAGGAGTGGGATTGCTGGATCATATGCTAGCAATACTCTTAAAGCACACTTCCATGAGCCCAGAATTATTTTCTAGATAGTAAATATTAACTTTTTGAAAGGAAACTATAACCAAGCCAGTTTGTAAAACTGTCTTGTTATTTTCAGTATTCAGAATAACTGACCTGAAGTCTTTAAAAAGTAAAAGTAAGCCTTTGGCAGAGGCCAGGTTCTGCTAAGCAGAAGACTCTGCTAGCTGTTTCCAGAGCAGGTTTCTTTAGCGGCGAAATGCTTAGGAAGTAGATAAGAGTTGTCTGGCTTAGCAAACTTGGTGAACTCCTCCTCTCACCCCCTGACACCTCATTGAACTGCTTGGGGGCCCTTCTCCCAGCCCTGGCATCTGACAGGGAGTCACCACTGCCGAAGGGGAAGGTCTCTGGTAGAATTAGGAATGAGCTCATGGAATCATGGGTGTAGCTAATATATTGATATTACAAATACACTGGATAAACAGGGCTCAGCAGATAGAAAACAATTTGAATCATTCTTCCCACTGCCTATTCAAACCCACTCTGGGCACTAGTAGCCCTTTTCAACTGCTTTGGATAAAAATTCAGGCATAATTTCTGTAGTCCGACTTTTTTAAGTTTCTCCATCATTTGAGCCGCAGACACACACATACACACACATAAACGAATCAACAGTTAGACTCTATGTAGCAGTCGCGATGTTCACATTTCTTTTATGTTTACAGCATTTCCCTTCTCGGGCAGCTCGCTGTTCCTCAAAAAAGTATGGCCAAGGGCTTCCCTGGTGGCGCAGTGGTTGAGAGTCCGCCTGCCGATGCAGGGGACACAGGTTCGTGCCCCGGTCCGGGAGGATCCTACGTGCCGCAGAGCGGCTAGGCCCGTGAGCCATGGCCGCTGGGCCTGCGCGTCCGCCCTGGGGTGGAAGTGCAGTCACTTTGAAGATCGTGGCCTCTCTGGCTGGCTGTCGATGTCTGCTCAGCCCCTTGGAATCTGGCAGCCCACTATTCTGTGGAGATCACCTTGTTTCTTCAGGCCCTTTTCTTGGAAAGCATTTGAAATAACCAGCAGGCTGGCTTTCTCACTTGGGCCTGTGTGTATCGCCCACAAATGGTCCAACAGACACAGTCACATCCTCTGCCTCAGCAACCTCAGGCTCCCCAAGACAGCAGCCGCCTTCCCAGGCACAGGGATCTCACATCACACTTTGGAATGTGCAACCATTCCCATCTGTTGCTCAAGGTCACGGCTGAAACTGAACAGAAAGGTATTTTCTCCTGTCAGGTATCATGGGGCTCCAGAGCGAAGTTCCATTCAGTTTTAGAAGAATAAGCCTGAATTCCTTGAGTGAGTCACGGTTTGAAAATTTGTTGTCACGATATGATATTCACATACACCACGTGAGGACGCATGGAGCACTCAAAATACTTGTTACTGCTCTGAATATTATTAGCTCAGAGAGACTGATATGATAATATTACCTCATACCTAAAGTATTCTCTCTCCATTAAAAAATAGATCTATGAGCAAAACAAAGTGTAAAGGTAGACGATAAGACAATGGTGTGGCCCATTAAAATAACCCGGGAATTTTTTATATCTTTATGGAGAAGTAACATGGGTTTGTGGCAGTGTTCCATTTCTTTTTCTTTTTTTTTTTTTGGCCATGCCATGCACCTTGTGGATCTTAGTTCCCTGACCAGGGATTGAACCTGGGCCCCTGCAGTGAAAGAGCTGAGTCTTTTTTTTTTTTTTAACATCTTTATTGGGGTATAATTGCTTTACAATGGTGTGTTAGTTTCTGCTTCATAACAAAGTGAATCAGTTATACATATACATATGTTCCCATATGTCTTCCCTCTTGCGTCTCCCTCCCTCCCACCCTCCCTATCCCACCCCTCCAGGCTGTCACAGAGCACCGAGCCGATATCCCTGTGCCATGCGGCTGCTTCCCACTAGCTATCTACCTTACTACGTTCGTTAGTGTAATCACTGGACCACCAGGGAACTCCCTAATGTTCTATTTCTTGACCTAGATGATATTTATTTGGGAATAATTCCTTGGCTATCCATTTACTATTTGTGCACTTTTCCATATATATCTTATCCTTTAATAAAACTGAAAGAGGTGGTGGGTAAACAAATATTTATTTAACAAATATTTTTTTATTTATTTTTATTTTTATTTATTTTATTTAACAAATATTTATTTAACAAATATTCATTTATATTCTTTATATTGTGGATATAGCCGTTATACCCCCATACAGAAAGGGAGTGAGAGAGTAACAATGTTTCACATCTTTTTTATTTACAATGAAGAGGTCCTGATACTTTCGTCATTCAAGAATTAAATTAAAAACTTGAAGAACAACGAAATCACTGAAACTTTGAAGAATAGATGCCTAGGTCCCATCCAGCTCCCCAGAGGTTCTCCTTTAATTGCTGTGAGGAGCGGCCCAGAAATCCATAGTGTGAAAAATGTCCAGTGTGCAGCGTTATAATTCACTCTTCTAAAGGTTAAATGGCTAGTTTCAGAGGCAAATTAACAGCTTTTCACAGTCAAGTGACGCGCGTTAGGTTTTACTGTCAGGGAAATAATCTTTAAATCCTTCAGTTCTTCCAAGGGAAAGACCCACGTGTGGAAAGGCTGTTTCTCCTTCAACCTGGGAGAAGTCCAGGACCAGGGCCGACAGTAGGAAGGACTCTCCTTTCCCCATGTCTGTCAGGTGTACTGTTTGCTGCTACCGTGGGAACAAGCTCACCCACCAGAGGATTACGTAAGGGCTCCAGTCACTGAAGACCTAAGTATAAGCTTTTCCTTGCTGTGGTTGACCCAGACTTGTTACGTAGGCTATAGACCCACAGATGGATACTCTATCCCTGGTCTGTGCTGTCCAGACCTGCCCCCAGGGTCCTTAACACTTGTCCACCATCCTCCTGACCTATAGGACCCACAGCTCTCTTAGAATCATAAGCCTGGCCTTAGCCTCGGTTCTTGGGTCTGACCTCTGACCTGCTTGTCATGAGGAATTTGCTAGTACTCTTGCTACCCATCCTAACAGCAGGCCTGGGCGGGACCAAGCTGGCCTGACCTGTTTCTGAAACTCTCTTAGCCTGATAAGCTTTGAAATTTTGTTACAAAGGGGTTTAATTGGTACCAAGAAGTTGGTGGTTCTTTCAGTAGTGCTTCGATCTGTCTTTAAAACCTTATAAAGAAGTTACACGTTTTGTGTTACGTGTTGTAGAGATACGTGCACTTTTATCTGACACTGATGACACACTGCTAAGGACGTTTCTCCTATTGACCCAGGCCACCACACCTAGTCTCAATAGAAGTACTTTCAAAGAAAACCCCATGTCTTCTCAAAGCTAGACTTACCAGGCTTCCCTGGTGGCGCAGTGGTTGAGAGTCCGCCTGCCGATGCAGGGGACACGGGTTCATGCCTCGGTCCGGGAAGATCCCACATGCCGCGGAGCGGCTGGGCCCGTGAGCCATGGCCGCTGAGCCTGCACGTCCAGAGCCTGTGCTCCGCAATGGGAGAGGCCACAGCAGTGAGAGGCCCGCAAAAAAAAAAAAAAAAAAAAAGCTAGACTCACCCATCTATGAAGCGATGCTGAGTGTCCTAGGTCCATCTCTCACGTGCGACCAAGAGAGCACCAATAGGTCTATTTCCAGGGGATGCACAGGCTGGCCTTTCACTGCATTGGGTCTCCTCCCCTCTGTCTACTGTTATATCTGGTGAAGAGTAACCTCGCCTTTTCCCGGTGTAGAAATCTCCCACAACAATCCCTTTAGCCTCATCTCCCTAGGAATGTTGGTTCCGTTTATTTAAAGTTGTGTTTGTGTTAGGATGGTCCCACCACGTGCCCAGAAACTGAGCAATGTTTCCAGAAACACAGCATAGTATAGGAAACAGGTAAAATATA